TCCTGTAAGCTTGCTGGATAACTGTTGCATAGAAATTCTCAAACTGATAGTTATATTGTCTCGCAATCAAGAATCCCCAAGAGCGTTTCATTGAACTTCTTGAAAATTACTTTATTAAAATAGTTATAGATTAGAGGATCTAACCCAGAATAGGTAGATCATGCATAGCATTTTTTTGGCAGGGCGATCATCCATACAGATTATGTAGCACAAAAAATAAATTATATTTCAGTTGAAAGCAATAGTCTATAATTAAAATATTTTTCAAAATCATTCAGTTAAACCAGTTAAACAATCGTGACTTTTGTCCCATCTCCTAATCTAAGCACAGTGCCTTTTGGCTGATTAAGATGGTTTAAGTTATTTTGTTTTGCATATATAGATGAGATAAATATTTCACTTGAAGGAGTCAACGAGTGTGGCTCATTCCAAAATTTATTAATCAAACTAAGCATAAAGTTTTTGGTTTCCACAGGCTTGATTGACGTTATATTTTTGGGTTTAGTATACTTGCTAGGCGCAGTATAATTGCATTGTATTTTATTTCTTGCTATGGCTAATCTATCAGACAATTGGCGTCTCTTATACTTCGAATAACTTATATAATCATAAAATTGATCTAGCGGAACATTAAAAGGTCTATATAATCCATCAATAGAATACCATATATCCAAGTTTACAGTACAACAAGTATCTCTACTAGGCATACTAAGAAACTTCTTTTCTCTAGGAGTGTTATCATTTCTAACCGCCTTCCAAACTTGTTTTGCTAGTGAAACAGGCCTCTTCTTATAATTTCTATAAGCTCTTTGGATAAGCCGAGCACTTCTATTCTCAGTTTTAGCTTTGGAGTATTCGTTATCCCAATGATATTTCAACAAGTCCTTGGACTTAATCTCATATCCATATCTGCGCCATTCATTGAAATATGTCTTTTTTGGTTTTACATCGGTGATCTTTACCAATTTCCAGCAATCAAAACAAATAACCATATTACTCTTATTGATTCTGAGTCGATGATAGTCAGAATTAACATTCTTGCCATTCCCAAATCCTGCAAACAAGCAATGTCAGTGATATACACTAAATCTCTGATTGGTTAATAATTCTTGTAATCGAATTCTAGCACTTACAGCTCATGCAACTAGAGACTGACCTGGTTTCACAACTGATAATGTATCATACTCCCACTCTATTCTGATTATTTTTTTGAGATCAGTACCATAACAGTAATTTACAATATATGCGCTAACATATTTCATATCGTATCCAAGACTATTATTAATAGGTTTAGACACAATCTTATTAAACTGCTCATCTAGAATAATCGTATTAGGTATATTTCTTGTTCACTTACAAATTATAACAATTTATAGTAATTTATTGATTTATAGCATTTTTAGTAACTTACACTAATGAATAGCATGTTTCAAATTTATACTGATTTGCTGGTTAAGCAGTTTTAATGAATTATAGTGGTTTTATCGATTTATAGCCAATTTGAGAGACTACACACTACTAAATCCAAATTCATTTTATTCGATTAGGGTTTATATAGATTCTCTCTTGGGGTTAAGCTAATTTTATATTTACATGCGGTTTGGCCGTAAGCGCTATGCATGGATCTCTCGTGATTAACAGGGATTAGCCAGATATGATGTATAACATAAAAATTTGTATCACTCTGGCTCCCAGACAGTTCTCGGCACTTCCTCGCAACCTTCCCGCAACTCATTCACGAGGATCAGCCAATCATATTTTGCGTGCGCAGTAACTAAGCCACCATTATTTTTTGATTAATCATTATATTAATCATTATGAAAATTAAAGCGTTGACTGTACACGAAGCTAATTTAATCTTACTCAGTCCTTACCTCACTTAGAGTAAGCTCCGACCATGCCCTATATAAGCGAGTCTTTTTGCCTCTTCCTTTCTCCATAAACATAAAAATATTCGCACAGTAGAGCGAAAAACAAATCCGAATGTTAATTGATAAGCATAAAAATGGGAATGAACAGTACCACTGAACTTCAAACCGTAATAAAAGAAACTTTTGGAGAGATATTGCGAATGAAATCAACCGAGTAAATAATACCAATTATTTCATTGGGGAAGATTGTAATAAGAAATTCTTAGCTCTAACTCGGGCATACTATGTAAGTAACATAATAATCGAGAAGTTAGAGACACTTTGCTTATACTTAACCTGACTCTGATCTGATATTTTTGGTGAATATAGACGGCCAGGGCCTATAAGAAAGCTGTAGCAGAAGCTAATGCAAAAGCGCTCTTAGAGGGATCAGATAATACTGAAACTAATGAGGGACTTAAGGCAAAAGTCAAAAAGAAGAGAAGTCTTGTTGGAGAACATTATTACGAAGAGTTTTCAACAGAATTTTAGAAAGAATCTGGTATTTATTTTTGTTATATTCTCGTATATATGAAAAAGATATACCCCTAAAATTTTTATTATTTCTAGGAGCACGTCATTTTACAACGCCATCTAATACATCTGGTCCTCTCGAAACTGAGTCTGATACTTCTTCCTCTCCACATAAACAAACCAAATTATCAAGATCTGTAACATCTTCTACTGAGACTTCCGTAGTCTCTAGACCTGTCACTCCAATACTCCCCTCTTTTTCCCAAAGTGCGAATGTAATTAATATTACTATTAATTACAGTGAGAAAGGAAAGAGCTCAGAAGAACAATAAGAAATATGATATTATTAGTATCGTATAGCGCTTATAGCATTTTAATGATCTAGCTGTTTTTTACAATTATAGCTGTATTAATAAGCAAATGTAATTAATAAATATCACTTGTAAAATTACGAAACACATTTAAAAAACTCAAAGTAAAATCTTTATTATAATTTTATAAAGTAATAAATGAAGGGCCGGCTGGCCAAGTAAAAAAATGAAACTAATAAAAAATATTGGAGTAGATCATGTTTAAAGGGAGGAATCGCGCTGGCCCTTAAGCTAAATATGGTGGTTCCTTCTCACTACCCCATATTATTTGAACTACTTGCATTATTATTTACACTAAGTTTACTATCTAATCATAAACCAATATCATCTAAGGTACTAATGTAACTATCCTTCTTCTTGATATTTCTCTCATAAAACCCTTGAACCGTAACTTTCTTAATATTCCCACCTAATTCACGAATTTCCATTGCTATATGAAGACACATTTCTTCTAAGTTAAATCTTTTTTCTGCCTTAATTTTATCAAAAATTTCCTTGAATTGAGTCCAGATAGTTAAGCTAATACCCTTGAATGTTATCGGTTCTGAACCAGATAATACACGAGATCGATTGGACACTTCAGAGTGGTTCGATACACTCTGTTGATCAGTTTCGACCGGCTAGATTCTTCTATTGATTGTATAACATTGAATTAATCCATTTTGGAATGCATCAATAGAAGTATTAACTGAGGCAAAATCATTACGGCAAGCTTCTTCGACCCCATCAAGCCTAGTACTGATCATTTGAAAGATTTTCTGCATCTTATCGGTGAAGTCATCATTACGTGTCTTGATTTTTTCAGCTTTCACAATAAGTTTACCATCGATTTCGGCATAAATTTTACTGATTTTCGCAATGAATATGGATTTAAAATTGGAGATACTCGTGTCAACTTTTGCGGTGAGCTTATCGTTAAATTTAGTAAAGGTCTTTTCTATTTCCGGCGTATCAAGATCGTTGACAATTTCGATGGCACGTGCATAGAGTTCATCAGAGACTTTCTGTTTGATATTTGATCATATGGTGGCAAATCCCATGAATATCACTGGACTAACAAGTAAAAAAACAGCGGATAAGGCCAAAAATAGCATGCTTCCAGAAGAGTTGAGCAATGTCAAACTGGACATGATTAGGCGTAATAATTTTATTAAGAGATATTATTGGTGGATCAAGTTTTTTAGATATACTTTTTTTAATATGCAATCTCTTGCGTAAATGCGCTAGGAAAAAGGTTTATTTTATACTGTATGCCTACTATACGCGAAAAAAGAATTTAACCCGATTTAAATAGATCAAATAAAAAATTACATTGCTTTATTATGCGTACTTGTCATTATTACATTTTTTTCATAATTATATTTTTTTTCATCTAAAGCCACAGCCTGGATCCTGAACAAATGTCTCTCCCTGAATTTAACAATACGGCTTAAAATTAAATTTGACGAATTACCGTTTTATGACAACTTAATATTAATACTAATAGAGCAATGCTGTGTCTCAAAATTTTCCATTTATTTCTAAGATCTCTTGCAAAACAGAAGATCGCATGTGGTGTATGAGGCGCATCTTTCTTTGAGTTCAACCCCTATTTTCATTGTAATCACAAAAAAGGAATATAAAATGAAATGGATTGAGATCTGTAGATGACGAATCGCACATGTATCGCTAATTCCTATTCAAAAACGGATTAATATATGATTAACCTATATACGTAATTTTAATGCGCTAATATCAGTAGGATAATAAAAACTTACCGTTTATCCGAGGATCTGCAAATCATAGATTCTAATCGGCTCTATTTCCATTTTTGAATTTCTTTTTAATGACGCCCTGTCTTATGATCCGCAAAATGTAAATCGGGAATATGGTTTTTTTATTAGTAATTCAGAACTGCGTAATGAGTAAGATAGAACATACCAGAACTTCTTTCAGCTTAGCGCTGGGGAAAGTTCATCAGTATAGCAACACAAAAATAATTCTCTTAGCCGAGTTTATTAATAGACTGATCCTCTAAAAATGCTGATGACGTACTACTACACCTAGTATATTCTGCGAATATAATTCACATGAACCAGTGAGGTAGTAACATCTCACTGCGGGACGCTAAAAGAAAATATAGATGACGTTTACATGCTATCTAAGCCACCCACGTGATCAAAAAAAAAGAAATATACGATTTCACTTAATTAAGTCTAAGTGAGTAATTAATTTGCCCAATAATTCTTCTAGGCGGTTACCGGTGAGATAATAGGACTCATCATTGGTGAGACTTTCCTTTCATATCTTCCGTTATGATAATAATAACCTCTATCACATTCACCATATTCATTATATCTACTGTAACCATTATATCTATCATCATTCGAATCATCTGGCATCTCTTCTACAGAATTATTGACGTGGATACAGTCATTATCATCATTCGTTTCTTCTACTACCCTAGCTTCATTCTCGTATGGTCTCCAATTAGCAGTCTTATTGACAAAACTCCCTGTAAGCATTTTTATATAATCTTCAAAATCGGCTGATAAGGATGTATTTTCTTCAGGCAAGATTTTTTCGCTAGTCTCAAGATTTATGGCTGAAATTTCAGGAGTTGCAAAATCATCCTGCTCTGCAGAATTATCCTGCCTCTCTGAGGCCTCTATGATCTCTTGAATTTGATCGTTAATCAACTCTGAAATGGAATTGGGACTATATTCACTAAGATACTTAATTTTATCTATACCTATTTTCTCAATTATTCTAACAAGCTTCATAGATCTTTGAGTCCTTCTAGTTAGAGAACTACAGGAGATTTTTGGAAGCTGTATATCCATTTCTTTTGATCTCTTCTTACGAATGGTAACAAGGTGTTCTAACATCTCATCATAAATTATATCTTTTGCTTTTTTCTCTCCAATTTTGCCATTGCTATTTTCCACGAGTTCACTAAAGTGAACCATGAATTCTTTTCTAAAGTTAACCCAACATAAGATTTCTTCCTCATTGGCTTTTTTAGTGCGATATTTGGCATCTGATGCTTTATCAAATAACTTTGCTAAATCGAGCAGAGATGAAGAGCATTTTGGACAACGGGCCGTCACTGAAATTTCAGTCTCATGAAATGGTTCACAGAGTGAACAACCAGAGGAAATTGGCTCTTGATATTTTACATCATCCTGAATACCGTCAATTATCACTTAGGTAATTTTCTCAACACCTTTTTTCTTATGACTGTTTTGACAAGATTGCTTCACAACCTCCTGTTCTGAAGATGCCACGCTTTCAGCATAAAGCTTCTTTTCCTTATTATGTCGCTTTATTTTACTACTAACGATTTTCTTATGAGCCTCAAGCAAGAAATTATCCATCTCTTTCTCTTCAGTAGGTACCGTTATCGCCTCTAGTACTGCAACCAAATTGAAGTTAGATGAATTATTATTAGGAGTATTATCATTTAACGTTTGCTTCTATTCTACTTTCGTGAGTCTATCTCTAAACTCAGCATTCTCAGATTTCAACTCCTCAATTGTGGCCTTGAGTTTAGCATTTTCGGCATCACGCATCTCATTATATTCCCCATTCGCTCTTAAAACCTCAGTACGCATGCGCTTAAGTTCAGCTATTTCAGCATCAGATATTGAGAGCTTGATTCTAAGATCGCGAATCTCAGTATTCCCCTTCCTAAGCTCTGCATTCTCAGCCTCAAGTTCAGTGATACGCTGTTTCAATGATTCAAGCTCAGATGTCATGATCTATATATAACTAATACAATGTATATAAGCATTCAAAATAAAAAAATATATCACATGTTTTGGGCGATGGACCGTTGCTGAAATTTGCCAAGAAAAATTTTTTATTAATATATGCGAAAAATAAATACAAATGTTCGAGACATAGCTCAGAATACATATTATTTTTTAATAATTTTTTCGATCCTAGCCCTCTTGCTAATTGGGGAACTATCTACACTAACCCGATCCTTCAATAACCCTACAATTATGCCAATTACCCTTTTCACGTTGCTTCAAAGTAATTCAGGATTATCTTTAACTGCGGACTTCATGAGATTGATCTGATATTCACTACCGCTCGTAGAGTATATATCATCAGGAGTATATATGATAAAATGCCACTCTGTGCCTGTAGTCACAATACCATAGATATAGTCAAAATAGTCATTCCCGAATGCTTGGTCCGCAGTTCGTTTTTTCTTGTTAGTTTAAAACACACTTTCAAGTTGCGCCAGATTCTAAGAAATAAACCATTATTAATGTCTCTAATACGTTAAAAAGCGAAAATATGGATAGTAGACCTACCTGCGCATATCCAATCTTAATATTTCGTAGTTTCCCTTCAGTGATGCAAAGAAGATCTTCTAGACTTTTGATTGCATAGTCCACCCGACCTGTTGCATCCTCACCAGAAACGTCCTTTTAAAACACTATAAATATATCTTGGGAGGTAAGTTTTTTAGCTATAGCGATGGATGCATGGAGAATCGATGAAATAAATTCACA